TGGACCAGCCTTCTTCGGAGGATGTAAGTGAAATGATACAAGTTCCCGTAGCAGAGGGTCACCCTCACAGTTTAAAGACCCTCCAAAAAAAAGAGAGAGAGAAAAAGACAAGCGGGCGAACGAGGTAGCAACAGACAACAAGAAGCAGAAGAAGGAGAGGAACTAGAAAGGAGCGACGGAGAGCCGCCGGAAACGAGCGGGTAATTCTGGCATTGTTACTTGGTATAGGTAAGACGCGCCGCCAGCGGAGGCGACCAAGAAAAACGGAAAAATGTGGAACATGTTGCTGCTTACTCGCATCCCACACATGGATCGAGTTTAAGTTCACGTGGTTCGGCGGCTGGCCCGTGGCATCGGGCCAGCCGCCCGATGCCACGGGCCAGCATGTGTGGCCCGATGCCACGGGCCAGCCGCCGAACCACGTGAACTTAAACTCGATCCATGTGTGGGATGCGAGTAAGCAGCAACATGTTCCACATTTTTCCGTTTTTCTTGGTCGCCTCCGCTGGCGGCGCGTCTTACCTATACCAAGTAACAATGCCAGAATTACCCGCTCGTTTCCGGCGGCTCTCCGTCGCTCCTTTCTAGTTCCTCTCCTTCTTCTGCTTCTTGTTGTCTGTTGCTACCTCGTTCGCCCGCTTGTCTTTTTCTCTCTCTCTTTTTTTTGGAGGGTCTTTAAACTGTGAGGGTGACCCTCTGCTACGGGAACTTGTATCATTTCACTTACATCCTCCGAAGAAGGCTGGTCCACCAGCCGAAACTGTTAGGATTAAATAAATATTTTATTGTTTTGTTTCCTATACTGCACTATTCTCGAAGTTTATATATATATATATATATATATATATATATATATATATATATATATATATATATATATATATATATATATATATATATATATATATATATATATATACTGCGCGCGTTAGGACTTTGACACAATAATTCGTACGCGCTCGTGAAATCCCCGCGTAATTTGCACACCCCCTTCTCTGGCCCCAAAATCGTAAATGAGTGCGCAAATTATGCGAGTGTATACGGTAGCCACACGAGCCTGAAAAGAGTGCGGATACGGCCAGCGGTGCACTCACATTGAATGATATCGAAAGCATTAGTTTGGCGCCAGCGAGTTGGCGCAGCATTGGCAGCTCTGATAAAAACGATCGTTTTGTGACATTTTGTGCTATAAACGCTAGAGAGCGCACGCTAACCATAGAAAAATGCGTCATCTTCGCTGAAGATAAGCCAGTGAGTGTTAGTGCGCATGGGCTTGTTGCAAAGACATTTAAATCTGACACTCTATAGGACCGTGCATTCACGACTGACAGATTTGCTCGCGCGCGTTGATGCACTGAATGTGTGCCCAGGCTGCGAAAGATTATGCACAGGAGCTCTGCAATGTGAAGGAGAAGGTAGCTCCTGAGAAGTATTAACCCAGAGTTTATAAGCCATACTTTGTTCGAATGTGAACCTCCCGATCTCAATGGGCTTCTTCCCCAACTTATGCAGATGAGCCAATGAAAAAATTTGGTCACGGTTGCGCTTGATCGCTATATCGAAGCGTGCACATACATAGCTTAGCCATATGCTGGCGAGGGTTGATTTTGCGAAAGCGCTGTGCCGCATAGACCTGCACAACAACGTATAGCGAGTTGCCTAGCCTGACGTTTCTTGGACACTTAACACTATGATAATTATTTTATCTATAGGTTTCACATATCCAAAAAAAAAACATAGTATCAATATTAGGGACGCCATAGTGATGGGTTCCTAAAATTTCGTCCACCTCGCGCTTTTAACGTGACATGGCACAGTACACGGCCTCCACCAATTCACCTCCATCGAAGGGCGACCGGTGTGGTCGGGATCGTGACCGAATGGACAGGTTGCATACACAACTTAATCTGACACTCCGTATCAACGTGTTTCCACACCTAACAAAACTGCTCGCGCGTTGAAGCACTGAATGTGTCACCGCAGGCTGCGATAGAAGCAGTAGCTGTGAAGTATTAACCCACAAGCTGCATACTTTCTTCGAAGCGGAAGCTCTAGAGTTTAATTAGCTCCTTTCCGCAACTTGCGAAGATGAGCCAGCGAGAAAAATCTGGTCCTGACTGGGTTCGATTTCTATCGAAGTGTGTCGTGACACAGCCACAGATTATATATAGCCATGCGTTTGTGAGGGTTGATTTCTGCGAATGTGCTGTGCCGTATAGTCAATCTGCCTGACAATGTTAAGCTATGCTTTCTAGTCGTTTTTTCAGCACTTAACACAAACTATAATGGACAATGCAAAGGATGCGAGCAGATGCCACTGATTGTTTCGTATGTGGGGTTTAACGTCCCAAAAATTATGAGAGACGCCGTACTGGAGGGCTCCGGGTATTTCGACCACCTGGGGTTCTTTAACATGCACCCAAATCTGAGCACACGGGCCTACAACATTTCCGCATCCATCGGAAATGCAGCCGCCGCAGCCGGGATTCGATCCCGCGACCTGCGGGTCAGCAGCCGAGTACCTTAGCCACTAGACCACCGCGGGCGGGCAGATCCCACTGCACCACTCGCGCGGCTCTAACGAATTTCTGCCGTTACATATTTTCACAGAATCTTTGGAGTCTTCACCGTCAGCTGAAAAAGTTGTCATCACAGCTGGTCAGTAAGACAATGAACAACAATGATGCCTGTCACGCTGAATTTGATGAAAGCCGCAGCATCGGGCGATCACAGGGTGGTTGCTATAGCTCGCTATAATAGAATACCGGATAACGCTTTTTCAGGCTTTCCTGGTAATCTAGTAAACCTTAACAATCACCTAAAAAGAAGAAGAAAAAAGAACCTTGTCGGTCTCGTCGTTGCGTTTTGATACCAATATTTGTGCCGGGGGTACACAGGGTACGTGCCGCTCCCGAATTTTTTTTTCCATAGCATACAGAGCGAGAAACGGACAGCCCTCCCCCCCCCCCCCCCCCGAAAAAAATTTCTGGCTACGCGCTTGATTTGAGTATAAGCAGCTGCATGCGCTACGTTCACTCGTGCTTCGTAGTCTGCTACGAGGAGCTGGATGGATGGGTGGATGTTATGAGCGTCCCCTTTATAACGGGGTGTTGACACGTGTGCCACTAGGTTCGCAAGACAAAAAAAAAAAAATGAAAAGAAAACCTTCTTTTCTTGTTGGCCTAATGTGTCATCTACTTCGAATAAATCGGTCTTTTCATAACAAAGAAAAATATAAATTTATGTTCCGTATATCTGCCCTTTCAGGCAGAACGACCTTATTTTCCCAGTATTTCTGTTCTTTATCTCTACTTTTCTGCCACCAATACTCTAACCGTCTCTTGTATCGCTTCTATCGCGGACGTGTTCAGCTTTCCATCTTTGTCAATAAAACCCAAAGCCTCACCACATTCAATCAGGACATGTTCCATTGTTTCCTTAGCTCCCCCACAGCATGTACATTGAGCCTGTTGTTGCAGTAGTGCCTTTTGCGCCGCTTTCAGTGTATGGTGGAGAGTTTGGCAACTGAACAGGTTCTGTTATAGAGGATACTTCCTCCATTGTTTCTCTAAATGTTGCCCTGTACTCTAAAGAAAAAAAAAAAGATTGTGTATTTTGGGAGTGTTTCTGCTACACAACAATAATCGTCATCTACTTCGAGTACTTTCGTCGTGCTATAAGTGTATCGTGCTGAGTAACTCAGGGGACAAATTGCAACTCATGATTACGGAGTTAGACAAGGAGAGCAGAAAGGTGGGTCTTAAAATGAATCTGTAGAAAACGAAAGTAATGTACAACAACCTCGGAAAAGAGCAGCGCTTCGAGATAGGTAATAGTGCACTTCATGTTGTAAAAGACTATGTCTACTTAGGGCAGGTAATAACCGCGGAGCCGAACCACGAGATTGAAGTAACTAGAAGAATAAGAATGGGGTGGAGCACATTTGGCAAGCACTCTCAAATTATGACAGGTAGATTGCCACTATCCCTCAAGAGAAAGGTATATAACAGCTGTATCTTGCCGGTACTTAGCTATGGAGCAGAAACCTGGAGACTTACAAAGAGGGTTCAGCTTAAATTGAGGATGACGCAGCGAGCAATGGAAAGAAAAAATGGTAGGTGTAACCTTAAGAGACAAGAAGAGAGCAGAGTGGATTAGGGAACAAACGGGGGTTAAGGATATCATAGCTGAAATCAACAAGAAATGGACATGGGCCGGGCATGTAGCGCGTAGACGGGATAACCGCTGGTCGTTAAGGGTAATTAACTGGATTCCCAGAGAAGGCTAGTGGTTTAGGGGGAGACAGAAGGTTAGGTGGGCAGATGAGATTAAGAAGTTGGCGGGTATAAATTGGCAGCAGCAAGCACAGGACCGGGTTAACTGGCGGAACATGGGAGAGGTGTTTTTCCTGCAATGGACGTAGTCAGGCTGATGATGATGATAAGTGTATCACCACGGTTCCAGTGCTTCGCGGTCGCCATGGAAGAAGGAAATATACAACTGGCAGTCGCGAACGGCGCATGCATAGCTACATACACATAGGTGACCTAGCATTCCCAACACGGAGGAAGGAAATTTCCTTCCTCCGTGATTCCCAACAAAAAAGTGACCAGCGCCATGTTTTTTTTCAAAAAAGTAAATGTGAGCAAGTCAGATGAGTATTCTCCTGTAGCGTATTTACCCCCCGAATGCTCCATTTTTTATTAGACTGTAGCATATACTGAAAACTCAATTTGAAGTTCGCGCTATATGAACTCCACTAAACTTTAGCGGGCAACTCGGAAGGGTGGCAGCTTAGGCTAGTTGGTATGGCATGACGGTAGTTATAGCGCGAGAATAAAACAACGACACAGAGACAAGGACAGTCCTTCGTGTCCTTCTTGTCTTTGTATCACCGTTATGTTCTCGCGCTATAACTACCGTTAGCCGGCAAAGGCAGAATTAAAAAACTGACTAGATTACAGCGCCGCGTCTCACTTGCGATGAAATTTAGCAAGAATGTCAGGCCTCGGCCTGGTCAACTTTTATTATCGCTAACAAGCCTCGTGGGAAAAAGCCCTTTCGCCAGTGTTTTCATTTTTTCCATTCCACTTTGAAACTTCATCCGTTATCGAGGCTAGACGCGGCTACCATCAGCGGGCGTACCGACGAGTGAATTCGGCGTGCGAGGCGTCGTGCACCATCACACCATTGTGGGCCGTGGAACGAGTGGTGTGCGCCAATCTGTGTGTGCAACTCTTTTCCGGCACCCGCGTGAGCGGAGCGGCGTGGTGGTGAAATTGGGGGGTGCGTTTGTTGCGCGCGCGAGTGTGTGTGTGCTTGTGGACTTGTCATGGGTCTGCCGTAGTGCGGCTGCCCCGATATGATGGCCGGAGTGTTCGACTTGGAGCTACACGACGCCGAGAATGACAAGAACGACGAATCTAGCGACGACGCCATCGAAGTGGACGAGCAGGTAGGAGGCACATGGTATCGCACCGCAGTAGTGGTGACCGCATGCGTAGTGCGCAGACTGCGCTCGTTGCCGCTGCTATGGGCGCGCTCGACACGCGGCTTGCACACGGTGGCGGCGCATAGCCACCGTATGGCGGGGCGACCCGCCGCCCGCGGGGACTGCTCCATTAGCCCAGTTCAGCCGCATTCCGAGAACCTCACTCTCGGTGGAACTCCCGTGGTCGTTGTGCGGGCGGGTGTCGTGTACTCCCTCCCTCTGACACCGACGAGGTGTGCGAGTGCCCCGTTTATTTTGACACGTGCTTCCGCGGCTTCCGTTAAAGTCTTGGGTTTCACCGCGGCCGGCGCGCGCCTTGCCAGGAAGCGACGTAATTGCTGGAGCGACTCGCAGGTGTGCGGACTCTCCTCGCGGACCGCGGTGCGATCATCGGCTTCTCCTCACGCTCTCTTGCTCCTGCAAGCCTTTCGGCCGCGCCGAGGCGTGGATCGTAGCAGTGCGAAAGTCGCATTGCTCCATTTCGCGTAGTACTACAGCGCTCGCAGGGTGTGGGCGTTGACGCCGTCTAAAAAAAAAAAAAGGTAAAGGATGCGGAAGCGAACGCCGCGCAGTACTTGTGCACTTCGCGCATTGTTGTTTGTTGCTCATTTGAGACGCTGCGCGCGTTGCCGTTCGGTGACGGCAACGCGCGCTGAGCTGTCGCCGATTCAGTCCTGCGCGTGCTGATATGCGCGTGGCAGTAGCGGAAAGAAACCGGAGGCTACGCAAGACTCAAGGCGGCCGGCCGGGAATGCGCCGTGCGCGCGAATAAACTTGACCTCGATATGTGGTAGACTCGGCTGCCGTAGCAGCCTTTCGCCCTCGCAAGGTCGTCGATTCCGCTCGAGGAGGAGGCAGACACGTGTTTTGCCGTGACGCGATTGCCACGATGCCGTGTGCGACATCTGTGCGCGTCAGCGACGGCTTTTCCGCGCCACCTGTGCTGCGATAAGGTGCCACGGGAGCATAGCTCGTTTGAATCGAGGCGCCGAGCGTTCTCGAAGACGCCCCATTGTAAGAGCGCGCGTTTATACATAAGGTTGCGAGCTAGCGCGTTCGCAGTGTTCGGGAGCTTTTTTTAGGTTCCTCTAGTTTCGGAACATCCAACAAGATCGGGTATTTCGAAGTGTACACCGCTGTGAGCGCTAAAGTTAAAGGGGCATTTTTTTCGTTAAGATTTTGTATTTACCACATTGATGTCAAACACACACAGTTCAGCTGCAAACTGGCACGTATGGCTTGCATAATGTCAATCCTGACAAGGGTAAAGCTAAGTAGCTCAGGAGGATGCACCTTTGGGTATTATAGTGAGGAGCTGGAAGGACAGGTGCATCAGAACACAACCGCTGCTTGACCCTGTTGTTTGACTCCTTTACTGTATTGCTACACCAACAAGGTGAAGCATCAGCATTGTTTCAGTTGGTATTGCCTGTACAGTATAAATCGTTAAGAAAGCGAACAAGCAAGCCCATAGCCTGCGCTGTGCGGTGGCTGCCTACAGCACCATCGGCTGATGAAGAAATAGTGTCCGCTTTTGGCAGCATCACCCATTGCGCGACCAGAGTGGGAGTACAATTTAGCAGCGCTTGTCCAACAGTCATGGCTTGTTTTGATAACAGATAACACGAAAATCGGTGGCACTTCCTTTATCTGTGCTTTAGGCACCAGCGGCAGAGCGCAGGTCACGCGCTTGCGTGTTCGCTTTCATAAAAACTTACATTGTACACTTGAGCCAAGAACCCTTAAAGGGGAAAGGAACAAAGTTTCGCCATCAAGATGCTAAGCCAAATCGAAAGATTGGGTGTCGAAATCGATGAATGCAACCTTCATTTCAGTCAGCAAATACAAGAAAATAATCAATTTAATGCGTTTTTGACGAACCACACCATCTAGCAGCTGTGCTCCAAACTTGGTCACCTTCGGTGACGTTACTCATTAAAAACGGGCATTTCAATAATACCAGCCGGCTGTGGCCTGCATCTGTCGACCTACTCGGTTCCCACTACATTTTCGTCAGCCACAATGACAGCGAACAATGCTCCCAGCTGGGGTAAAGCGTCAGCACTTTTATGTGTGGGGGTGGAGTGGAATGGAAGGAGAGGTGGAGAAAAGGAAGAGGACAGGGAGGTGTGCACCCTGCGTGTGCCTCAGGGATTCCAGTGTTGCCGCTCGCGTGCAGCCACTGCACCCTGATAATGCACCTAAAATACAGCCATATTTTCATTAGTACGCGAGACTCGTTATGTCGTCAGAGCTGGATTTCGATGTTTTCATCAGTTCTCTCAATTTTGTTCGGTATCTCTTTCAAAAACATAACCATAGCACTTGCAACTAAAGTTTGTGTCTAATGTGGGCGAGTGGTTACAAGAATGGAAAAAGCAGGTATTGCTATGCGTAATCTGTCAAAACAGTTTGATCTATAGTTGGGCGGAACTTTAGCAGGGATGATGAAGATATGTGAGGTTTAACATCCCAACACCACCATGTGATTATGAGAGATGCTGTAGTGGAGGGCTTTAAAAAGTTTTGACAACCTTGGGTTCTTTAACGTGCACCCAAATCTGAGCACACTGGCCAACAGCATTTTTGCTTCCATCGAAAATGCAGCCGCCACAGCCGGGATATGATCCCGCGGCTTGCGGGTCAGCAGTCTAGTATCTTAGCCACTAGACCACCTCGGCGGGGCTACTTTAGCAGGGAGTGGCGTTACCACAACTAAATGTGGAGGCATAGAAGCTTACGCCAATAAGTGCTTATTCTAGACCAGGGCTTCATGCACCTTTGGCTAGCAGCCCATGGTCCTCATATGAATGTCTTTTTCCGTTCTTTTTTCAATTTTTTTAAGTATGTCCACTGTCTTTCAGTGGACGTACTTAAATACTTAAATCAGGTGACAAACAACTTAATCATATAATCAAATTTGTTGACTATAATAAAATCCTATCATCAGCTCAGCACTGCTCTTGCTGCAGTTACGGTACTAGCACAACTAGTTTTATGCACATTTTTTAATAACTTAGATGTATGCAATCAAATGGATTCCATCATTAATTTCTCCAAAGCCTTCGATTCTGCAATTAATTCTAAGCTACTGTTTAAGCTAAACATTATTTTTGGAAACCCTCGTATTTTTTCTTGAATTGCCAGTTTTCTTCATCCATGCTCACAATTCGTCTCTTTCAACTCGACAGAATCATCTCCCATTGACGTCACTGACCTCCAGCGTTCTACGGAGATTCGTGCTAGGCCCTTCATTCTTTTTATTACTCATTATTATACCGTATAGCAAGGCATCTCAAATAAGACTCTACACAGATGACTGTGTTCTAAATCAAACTATCTATTCCATCAATGATCATCACAATCGCTCTTGTGCATTAGCGAATGCTCTAAAAGTGGCAAATGAACATAAATTGTTCTGAAGCATTGGTGATGTCTTTTACCAACGGGTATAACTCTGTTTTGATCATTCTACAAGTGGCACAGGACTGAACAGAGTTTCTCAGCATGAATACTTAGGAGTAATTTAAACTGAGCACCCCTTGTGGATGGCCTACATCGATTTCATTCATGGCAGAGCTCTAAAGAAAGATTGGAAAAGTTGGGGTTACTTGCACCACACCCTACTTAATGCCCCTCGGGACACTAAGCTTCTTTTGCAAAATCACTGATTCGCCCAGTTATTAATTATTCATTAGTGGTCTGGTTCTGCTACGAACACTGTGAAATAAACTCAGTAAATAACATTCAACGAAAATCTATCCACTTCTTTTTTGGTTGCTACAGTCGCAACTTCTCACAGATTTTAACACTTCAATTATTAAACATTCCATCACAACTTTCACGATACCAGAATGAAGCTTGTGTTTATATAAAATATTGTGTTTATACACAATAATTAACTCCTCTTCTGGCATTGCCCCGCCGCGGTGGTCCAGTAGCTAAGGTACTCGGCTGCGGCGGCTTCATTTTCGATGGAGGCAAAAATGCGGTTGGCCTGTGTGCTCAGATTTGGGTGCACATTAAAGAACCCCAGGGGGTCGAAATTTCCAGAGCCCTTTGGCTACGTCCTCTCATGATCATATGGTGGTTTTGAGACTGTAAACGCCACATATCAATCTTTTTCTGGTATTTCTGACGTTAACCGCATCACATTTTCTGTTGAAGGTTGTACTCTGAGTTGCCATGCTTAAAACCTAACAACTTTATTTTCGCTTGCTGGTACCTTTATATACAGGTTTTGTTTTCTACGTGCAATACAGCTTTGCAGCTTTGGAATTCCTGCCTAGTAACATTCGTGGCTTTCCACTAAAGAACTTAATTGTTGCAATGGATGAACATCTTTCTAACATATATTTAACTTCCTCTTGAATATTGATTTGTTATGAGTGTTCTTGCTTTGTTATTTAAGTTATTTTCTTGCATTTTTTCGTGCTTATAGTACTATATAACATCCTAATTCTGCTATTGCCCTGCATAGTGCTCCAGCAGGTATAAATAAATTAAAAAAAGAAAAAATTGACGCAGATTTTTTTTATTAGCAAACCTATGATCGTGCAGTTAATAGCACTGGAGTATTATTTGTATGATTTAACAGTATAACCTAATCTGTTGTTTCTCTTTAGTGTTCTTTAAGGCTTTTATTTTTACGAACCAGGTAGCTGTACTTGGTGGGATATGCGGCATTACTTGGTCTCCACGGGGTGCATAGCTTCCCATCCTTTACAAACTTATCCATGTGATAGCGTCATCCAGGTCAAAGAGGGGCAGCAGCCTTTGCATAATCTCATTTTAATCTCGAACAACAGGGAATGGTCTGCCATGAATGAACAGTGGTTGCAGACTCGGAAGGTTGTGGGTTTAATCTCAGTCGTGGTAGTTGCATTTCGATGGAGGCAAAATGCCAAAGGCTTTTGCAGTGTGTTATGTCAGTGCCTTATTAAAGAGCACCAGATGGTCGAAAT